AAATTAATGGAGGAACCTGGAGAGTATTACGCTAAGTGAAATAAGCCAGTCAGAGAAAGACAAGTATCACATGATCTCATTTATACGTGGAATCTAATAAACTGACAAACAAAATAGAGCCAGAGACATGGAAACATGCAACAGACGGAGGATTCTTAGAGGGAAGAGGGACAGGGAGCAGGAAGTGATACTAAAGAACTTATATGCAGATATGCATCACCTGCAGACACCTACAATAGTGCGGTGAAGGCCTGGGGAGGGGGCAGGAGTGGGGGGGAAGGGGTCAGCAGGGGGGCGAAAGGATGTTTGTAAAACTTTCAACAATAAAGATAAATTTAGAAAGATAAATTAAGGGATATACTCACATACACAAAAACAAACTCGGAGAAGGTGAGTAAAATATGTTGTGCTTTTAGAATACATTCAAATTTGAACAACCATCAACTTAAAACAGACTGCTATAAACATAGCTTGATATATATGAACCTCATTGTAACCACCAAAAACCATTAAGAGATAAACAAAAACTGAAGAGAAAGAAATTCAAACAAATCCCTACAGAAAGTCATCAATGTATAAGTGAAGACAGCAAGAAAAGAACAGAGAAGAACCACAGAAACAACCAGACAATGATCAATAAAATAGCAACAACTATGTATAATTACTTTAAGTACAATAAACTAAATGTTCCAATCAAAAGACACAGGGTTGCTCAATGGATTAAAAAAAAAAAACAAGACCCATAGATAATACTGCTTACAAGAGACTCACTTCAAATGGAAAAATACACACAGACTAAAAGTAAAGAGGTGGAAAAAATATTTCAGGCGAGTAAAAACAAAAAAAAGCTGGGGTACAATACTTTTATCAGACAAAATTGACTTTAAAACAAAGTCTGTAACAAGAGACAAAGAAGGGCATTACATAATGACAAAGTGATCAATCCAGCAAGAAAATATAACTCTAGTAAACATCTACACAACCAATGTAGGGGAGCACCTAAATACATAAAGCAAGTATTAACATATTAAGGGAGAGCTCAACAGTAATACAATAATAGTAGGGGACTTTAACACTCCACGCACATCAATGGATAGATCATTCAGACAGAAAATTAACAAGGGAAGAGTGGCCTTAAAAGACACATTAGATCATATGGATTTAATAAACAGAATATACATTTTCTCAAGTGCACATGGAACATTTCCCAGGATGGACCACATGTTGGGGCACAAAAGAAGTCTCAATAAATTTAAAAAGACTGAAATCATATCAAGCATCTTCTCTGATCATAACAGCATGAAACTACAAACCAAGTATAAGAAAAAAACTGAAAAAAACAAACACATGAAAGGTAAACAACGTGCTACTAAATACTAAGTGTGTTAATAAAGAAATCAAGGAGGGAATTAAAAGATACCCTGAGAAAAATGAAAATGGAAAGAACAATGACCCAAAAATCTATGGGACATAGCAAAAGCAGTTCTGAGAGAGAAATTCATAGCAATACAGGCCTACCTCAAGAAACAAGAAACATTTCACAAAAACAATCTAACTTTATACCTAAAGGAGCAAGAAAAAGAAGAACAAAGCCTGTAGTTAGAAGGCAGGAGATAATATGGATTGGGGTGGAAATAAATGAAATAGAAACTAAAAAAATAACAGAAAAGATCAATGAAAATCAGAGCAGGTTCTTTGAAAAGATAAACATCATTGATAAATCTTTATTCAGACTCATTAAGAAAAAAAGAGAGAGAGCCAAAATAAATAACATCCAAAATGAGAATGAGAAATGACACAACTGACAGAAGTACAAAGGATTATAAGAAAATACTACAAACAATTATATGCCAACAAACTGGACAACTTAAAATAAATGGATCAATTCCTGGAAACATACAATCTTTCAAGTCTGAATCAGGAAGAAATAGAAAATTTGAACGGACCAATTATTAGCAATGAAATCAAATTAGAGGGAAAGAGATAGAAACATCAATGATGAGAGAGTCATTGATTGGCTGCCTCCTGCATGCCCACGACTGAGGATCGAGCCACAACCTGGGCAAGTGCCCTGACCAAGAATTGAACACCCATCGCTTGGATCCTAGGTCGACACTCAACCACTGAGCCACGCCTGGCTGGGCTGAAATCAAATTTGTAATAAAAAAATCTCCTAACAAACAAAAGTCCTGGATCAGACAGCTTCAGAGGTGAATTTTACCAAGCATTCAAAGAAGAATCAATACCTATCCTTTTCAAACTATTCCAAAATATTAAGAGTTCCGCTCCCAAATTCATTCAAGGCCAGCAGCATCCTTATACCAAAAACAGACAAAGACACTACAAAAAAAGAAAATTATAGACCATTATCCCTGGTGAACATAGACATAAAAATCCTCAACAAAATATTAGCAAATCAAATTCAGCAATACTTTAAAAATATCATACAACATGATCAAGGACGCAAGGTTGGGTCAATACCCACAAATCAATTAACATGACATATCACACACACAAAATGAAGGATAAAAATCATATAATCATATCAATAGATGCAGAAAAAGTATTCAACAAAATACAACACTCATTTATGATAAAAACTCTTAGCATAGTGGAGATAAAGTGAATATACCTGAACATAATAAAGGCTACATATGACAAAGCCACAGCTAACATCACACTCAACGGTGAAAAGATTAAAGCTTTTTCTCCAAGATCAGGAACAAGACAAGGATATGTAGCAATCAGATATGAAAACAAAATAAAAGACATCCAAATTGGAAAGAAAAAAGTAAAGTTATCACTATTTGCTGATATTATATATAGAGAGAGAAAACCCTAAAGATTCTACCAGAAACTATTAGAATTAATAAATGAATTCAGTAACACTGCAGTATACAAAATACTCAGAAATCTGTTGAGATTTTATATGCTAATATTGAACTATCAGAAAGAAAACAATCCCATTTAAGTTCATCAAAAAGAATGAAAAATTTAACCAAGGAGGTAAAAGACCTGTACTCTGAAAACTATAATACACTAATAAATGGAAGGACAGACTGTGCTCGTGGACTGAAAGAATATTGTTAAAATGTCCATATTACCCAAAGCAATCTACAGATTCAATGCAATCCCTATCATAATACCAATGGCATTTTTCACAAAACTAGAATAACCCTAAAAATTTTTTGGAACCACAAAACACCCCAAATAGCCAAAGCAATATTAAGAAGAACAAAGTTGGAGTTATCACACTACCTGACTTCAAATTATATTACAAGGCCATAGTAATCAAAACAATATGGTAGTGGCATAAAAACAGACATGTAGATCAATGGAACAGAATAGAGACCCCAGGAATAAACGCATGCTTATATGCCCAAATAGTGTAAACAAGGAGGTAGAACAGTCTCTTCAATAAATGCAGGGAAAAACAACAGATACATGCAAAAAATGAAATTAGACCATTTTCTTACACTGTATACAAAAAGAAACCCAAAATGGATTCAAGTCTTATGTGTAAGATCTGAAATCATAAAACTCCTAGAAGAGAACATGGGCAATAAACTCTTTGACACTGGTTTTAGTAATATCTTTTTGGATGTCTCCTAGGGTAAAAACAAAAAGCAAAATAAAGGCAAATGAGACTACATCAAACTAAAAAGCTTTTGCACAGCAAAGGAAACCATCAATGAAACAAAAAGGCAACCTACTGAGTGGAAAAATATATTTGCAAATGATGTATCTGATAAAAGGCTAATATGCAAAATATAAAAAGAGCTCATACAACTCAACATAAAAAACACACAAAACAATCCAATTTAAAAGTGGGCAGAGGACCTGAACAGATATTTCTCCAAAGAGGAAATACAGACAGCAAACAGATACATGTAAAGATGCTCAACATAACTAATCATCAGGGAAATGCAAATCAAAACGAGATATTACCACACACCTGTTAGAATGGCTATTATCAGTAAATCAAACAAGTGTTGGCAAGGAACCTTCCTGCACTGTTGGTGAGATTGCAAACTGGTGCAGACACTGTGGAAAACACTATGGAGAGTCCTCAAAGAATGAAAAATAGAGCTACCTTATGACCCAGCAATTCTACTTCTTGGTATTTATCCCAAGAAATTGAAAACACTAATTTGAAAAGATATATGCACCCCTATGTTTACTGCAGTGTTGTTTACAATAACCAAGATACGTTTACTGCAGTGTTGTTTACAATAACCAAGATACGGAAGCAACCTAGGTATCTATTTATAGAAGAATAAAGATGTGGTGCATATATATAACATGGATGGACCTAGAAGGTATTATGCTAAGTGAAATAAGTCAGACAGAGAAAGACAAATACCATATGATTTCACTTATATGTAAAATCTGAAAAACAAAATAAAGTAACACATCAGAAATAAACTCACAGATACAGAGAACAAACTGATGGTTGCCAGATGGGAAGGTGGTAAGGGGAAGGTTGGAAAATGTGAAGGGGATTATGAAATACAAATCACCAGTTATAAAATTAGTCACAGGTATGTAAAGTACAGAATAAGAAATATAGTCAATAATACTGTTATAACTATGTATGGTGTCATATGGGTACTAGACTTATCTCATGGTGATTACTTCATAAGGTATATGTCTAATCACTATGTTGTACGCTGAAACTAATATATATTGTATGTTAACTATAATTTTAAAAAATTTAAATAAGACAAAAACTATTCATGCTATTTTGTGTGTGTGTGTGTGTGCATACACATACACACACACACACACACACACATACATATATATTTGGGGGAGGATACAGTTAATATGGGGTGGTCAGGAGTTTAAAAAAAAGTCACTGTTTCTAAGGCTTATAAATACACATACAAGATCTTAAGCCAATCAATCAGCCTCCATCCTTATTGGAGGAGAAACCTAATCAGTCTTCTTTTCTCAGGCAAGTGCTACCTATAAACAGCATCATCTTGTCAGACACCTACCTTGCTTGTCTGATTCGGTTTGATCCCAGGCCCTCGAACCAACAGTGGAACTTTGATATCAAATTCATACAGCTGCCTCTTGTCTATTGGCAAAGAAAACTGTCCTGAAATCAAAATGCATAGGGTAAAGATGGAGCCAAGGGGGAAGTGTCATGCATATTCTTTCATTTAATCAACAGCAAAAACAACTTTGTTCCACTAATTATGGTATTTAAATAGGAGGTTTGAATTTGCCTGGGTCTCATTACTACAAGGCAGGAAACAATGAGTTCATCTTCCTTAAATAAAAGCCTAGGGGGACGACTCCCTGGTCTAAGATAGGACAAATTCAGCAAAGAGTGACTGGGAAGTACTGAAATGCAAATGCATAATTTATGTATGATACTCAACCTGATCATAATTGAATGAGGTTATTCTGAAAGCTGGTAAATAAAGGGACAGAAACATTTATCTGGCCTTTCCTGAATAAACTGTATTTCAAGATAACCAAACAATTGATAAGGGAAAGTTCTTCTCTGAGAAATTCCAGCTAATAAATGCAAAAGGAAGGACAGAGTTATGAAGTCAACATTTTGCAAGAACTGAGGGAAAAATGGACTTAAGCATCAGTGGAAGGTTTAGTCACAAAAGGTTCACAGGACAGGCTCAGGATGACACTACATGGGCCATCAATCAATACCCACATCCCTAAAGTGGGGTAGCCAGACACCCTGGGCGTCATGAAGTGATGCAACAGGAAGTACACAGCAGCAGCACCAAGAAATCATTCTTGGTGAAAATGTGAATTTCTATTAAGACTCTAGATCTGACTACCAATCTATAGGAAATGTTGAGTATAAATAAACGAGTTAGGATAACATGAGACAGCCATTAGCCAAAGCCAGAATGTGAGATAGTCTAAAGAACAAAAGACTTGTTTTTCCAGTCAATCAGTGGCAATGACAGCTTTAGGACACATAAAAACTAAAGGTAGCGTGTAGACTTTGTCTAGATCCTTATACATAATAAACCAGTCAGAGGCACAATTGAGTGTTGATATGTGCAATCGCAATTTCAGGAGTTTCTTCAAAGCCTTCTAGCTAAGAGAGAGAAACACGGGGAAGGTAGGAAGAATTTCAAAGACTGGCCACATGCAACTGAAAACTGAGGCTGGATAACGGAGGTTATTTTATCAGTCTCTACTTCAAGTGCTTAAAAATATTCTCAATAATACATTAAATTCCCAATCAATCTGCTCTATGCGAGCAAGCCTCAGGTTAATTCCATTCTAGTTTATGAAATTTATAGGTGGGAAAAGAAGAAAACACTGGTTTTTAACTCCAGAAGGTCTAAGTAGAAAGGATAAAGGTAAAAGACGGGGGGCTGATTCATACTGTTATTTTAAAAAGATAAAGCAAAACCAAACAAAACCCACACATACACACAAACAAAAATTTAAAAAATGAATTTCACAATTTCTTAAGAGGTTTTTCCTCAAGACAACCTTCTCTTGATCTTCTTGTGTAAAACATCTTACCCCTATCCTCTAAGGTCTGCTTGCCCTTGAAATCTAGCTCAATTTCTTACCTCCTTCACAAATCCTGCCTCCAACCCATCAAGCTCACTCTGCTCCTGATTCCTAGAATGCCATGTAATTTAGCCTATGACTAGCAAATAAGGAAACTGGTCTCTCCGTGTGGGAATGAGTTGGCCCTCAACCCAGAGGGGTCCTGAGAGCAAGATCCTCCCTCTGGCCTCTAATTTGTTATAAAAGGACCAGAGCTCCCTGCCAGTGCTCCCAGTTGGATGAAAAAGGAAAGGCACCTCACAGATCTCAGAAATACCTAGCCATGTCCCTTACCTGTGTGATAACCATTGTCAGAGGTATAAAAGATATAAGTGTTGTCCAGCTCCCCAATGAGCTCCAATCTCTTGACCAGTTTCTCCACAAGGTCATCAACTGAGAGTAGAGTTTGCCACCTGGATGTGAACAGAGGGTGGTGTTGGACCTCAGAGATAATGGCTCAGGGACACCTGCAAAACCTCAAAACCATTCTCCCAAAAATGGAAGAAATTTCTAAATTTCCTTTCCTCAGATGCCTCATTGCAAAAAAAACAGATTAGAAAATTTTAGAATAGTTAGCGCAATCTAAATTGAACTGTTTCCAAAGAAATGAATGAGGCTTTCATACCAGTTAGCTTTATTATTTATCATCACTGGTAATGAGAGTAGAGACAATTGGAAAAGCAAGTTGTCAACTCAGCACTGATTAATACAGATTAATACGGATAGACCTGTGCCACAACAGTGTATGTGATCTAAACTAGGGACCAGCAAACTGCAGCCATGGGCCAAAGCTTGCCCACTGTCTGTTTTTTTTGTTTTGTTTTTAAATTGTGGTAAAAACACATAACATAAAATTTACCATGTTAACAATGTTAAGTGTACAGGTCACTAATATTAAGTATATTCACATAGTGAAACAGATTTCCAGAACTTTTTCAGCTTACAAATCTGAAATGACCATTAAACCACTCACTGCCTGTTTTTATATACCCATAAAGTTTTATTAGAACACAGCCATGCTCATTCAGTCACGTATTGTCTTCAGCTGCTTTTGCACTCCAACAGCAGAACTGAGCAGCTGCGACAGAGACTATATGGCCTGTAAGCCTATAATTACTACTTGGCCCTTTACAGAAAACGTTTGCCAATCCCTGGTCTAAACTATATACAACTTAAATAATGGACTTTTAAAAAAATTGACTTAAAAGAAGTTATTGAAAATTCCAAACAGCAAGGGTAAATATTTTGCTTTAATCTAAGCCATTAGGTCTTATGCAAATATTGGGTGACAGATCTCTAACAAACTGATCTTTTTGTTAGATATAGGTAACTTGTAAAAAAAATCAAATGGCTTCAGTTCCAAAGTTTTAAGAAGTCAAAAAAAGGACTGTTTAGCCAATTACTGTAAATCCAAATAAATACGCAGCTTTCTTAAAAAATAAATAAATAGACTGTTTAATTAGTTTGGGAGTTCAAAGGCCACCTTGCACACCGAAATGTAAAGGAATCTTTGCTTTGGAGGCAACAGATCCCCCCTCTCCCCAACCCCTGGGATCAAAGAGTCTCTCTCATCAACCTGTTACCCTCTGATTTTGTCTCAAAGATAACCATGTGGCACAGTCCCCTGTTCATAGACTGATTTGGAGGGTCCCCCCAGATTGTGAAAGTAGCACCTCTTACCTTTTCCTAAATGCATTATCTAAAAACTGTATCGAAGAATTAGTCATTGGAGTCTTGGCTTGCCTGATTAACCAGTGCTTGTTCTGAAATTTAAAAGAAAAAACTGTTAACATCAAGTCATCCAGTCAAATAAACTGCTATAGTAGATCATGAAAGGGATCATTTTATACTTCAGTTAAGAAGAACTAACTGGAACCTGTTTAAGCAACTTTCCCTCCTCTCCATTTCCTTCCCTTGTGTTCCTAAAAAACCTTTCTGTGGATTATCATTCATTCTTTAGATTCTTCCTACCACCTCCCTAATGGCAGAAGGCCTGGGATCCTTTGTCAGTAGCATTAATAAATATTACCTTTTTCTTCCTCTTAGTTTTGCCTAATAAATCAATGTTTTATCGATCATCCTAAACTGCTGGGAAAATCTCATAATAGCAATTTCCTAAAACTTCAAGTCCAAATCTGGAGTGTTCTTCTGACTTAAATAAAAAAGTCAGTTTAAAAAACATTCCCATACAACGTTAATTATCTCCCTCCTCTCTATTTTTGAACCCCTAAGCTGCTATCTCCCAAACTATGATCCTCAAAGTATTTAGTTAATATGTTTGAGAAATGCTATATAGCATGTCTTCCTGCTGGAAATTCACGTTAGAACATGAATAACTCCGAGGAATCCTGCAGCTGAGTGACTTATTTAACCTAAAGTTTCTGCACTTACTTGGTCATGGGAACTCCTATCAATTTTATATGGAACGCAGTTTGAGAATGGCCCTCTAGTGTAAAACTCAGCTCACTCAGCAGCACATGCTTACAATATTCCAGGCAATACACTAGGTTTTTCCACATACTTCAGTCCATACAGCAGTTGCATGAAAAATGGAAGTTAGCATCTTGCTCATTGTTGGGTCACTAAGCTTGAAGGTGGTAGTGCTGAGTCTAACTCCAAGATTCATTCTTTCCACCACCTCATGAGCAACGAAGATGTCTGGGAAATAGGCATGAGGCAGTAGAGGCATTCTGCATTTGAACCAGTGAACTGCCAATCCCGTGCCAAGGGAAGGATAAGTAACTGACATATGAAGCAAATATTTAGGTTGTAGACGTTAATTATATTCCCTGCTCTGGCTCATTTCTCCATTTTATTTCCCTACCCAATCATATTGAATTGCGCCACCCCTTGTCTTCCTATGCCTCAGGCCTGGTGAGGGCCACCAGAGGCTGCTGCAGGCCCAGCTAGGCCCCAAGGGACATGTGTCAGTCACTGCCAGGAAGAGAGCCAGCACAGAGGTTATCAAGAGAGCCTGTAGCCAAGGAAGATGGCATCTCTTTAATATTCCCTGTGGACTCTAGCTGCTCCCTGGATGTGTGGCAGGAACCTTATCTGTATTTCTGAAGCAAGTTTATACTATCTATCTTACTAGAGACAAGTTTAATTACCTTTAAAAGACCTGGAAAGAAAACCAACTACATGGTTCAAGGCTCTCTAACAAGTTTATTATACAGTTAACTATATTGAGTGTGCCTTAATTCAAGGATTAGGGAAGCTACCGTTCCATGGATGTTGAAGTTCTTGTTCCTTGGTGCGAAGACGTTCTGGAAGGTCTTCTGGTACTGAGGTGCGGCTGTCCAAGGCGAGTGAGGTGCTGGAGTGGAGATCATCATGAAGAACGGTTCAAAGTTGGACTTGTAGTCCAGGAAGTCCAAGGAGACATTAGCCTGACATATACAAAGATTTGTCATCTCCTACCCTACTCAACAGCTGCAGACTTGATAGATACATGTTCTCTGGTGAACAGAAGGGACAGGGTAATATTAGCTTTTAACAAACCTCAGCGCACAATGTATGTCACAGTCAAATGACAAGTGTGCTGTTGGAACAAATATTTGGCCTTCTGGCAATACTTATAATAAAAAATTGAAAAACACACTATCCTAAGAGGCAATTAAGACATTGATTTTACATGATCAAAAAAGTGTTATGCCTCCCATTGGAAAGAAACAGTAATTTGACCCTTTTAGTATTAACTTACATTAATGCATCTTACAGTATATACATTTGATGCCTTAAAGAATATAAAAATAGAGTCAATCTAACTCACAACAGTGGGAAAGGTAGATTAAATTACCTTAATCTTACAAAAATATGTAGAGTAGATATTGTAAGTGATGCCAGCTAAACTAGCTAAGATAAATGAGTAATATTAAACCCAAATAAATCACACCAGGGCTTTAATGTATGACTTACATTTTTCATTTGCTTATTTGGAGACATTTTATGAAAATGAAAACATCCCACATCCATGTCATGTTTTTACCTGTTCTAGTTGATTTATATCTTCACTTATTCCCAACATTAAACTCAAAAACCACTGACTGCATCGATTTCCCATCAGCAACCTGCCTACCAATTTACCCTAGCCTCTAAGAAACCTGCAGTTTCTCCAACATGCCAGGCACACTCTCACTTAAGTGCACAGACAGTTTTCATTCCTTTTGTGGCATTCTTTCCCATGATCTTTACAGCTCACTCTCACCTACTTCAGGATTTTGCTTAAATGTTCTCTAAGTAACCCCCATCACCTGCTCCGTCTTTCTAACTGAGCATCATCTAACACGACAATAAATGAACGTGTGTGCACATATACACACGTGTAAATAAAATCTGCCACTAAAAAGTTACCTTCCACAGAATCAAGGACTATGCCTCATTTACTGCTGAACAGCCACTATAAGTAGTGATGAAATAGCTGGTGAGTGAATGCTCTAAAAAGATTGTCATTAGAAACACCTTAGGAAAGGGAAGTCCCAAATTCAACCAATTTCAGTATTTTTTATATACAACTGCACAATGCTTGACGAACTCCCATATCCCTATCAATCACCCCACCCTCATGATGAAGCTGTCATCTTGTAGCTTGTGAGTAAAACTGGGGTCAAGAGTAGAAACCCTGACAAAGTAAAACCTCTTCAAGTTAAAAAAAACGGGGGGAGGGGGGACTTGTTGCTGGAATTTCAAGCACATTAGATCTGAGCCTGGCTTATATACAAAGAAAAATACCCTCAGGAGTTTTTAATTGGTTGGAAATATTCTTTGGCAGTTAGATCGAGTCATTATTCATTAGCATTATCCAACATGAACAAATACAACTAAAGGTTTTCTAGGCAAAGTCTTCAATCAAATATGAGCCAAATCTGCCAGGACAGAGCTTCAGTGACTCACCAAAACATCTGTCAGGTAGTCCACACTGTAGTTCTCACCATGCTTCCGTGCCTTGCCATTGATAGAGAGGGTGTAATTATAGTACTTAGAATTCTTTTCCTATTAAAGAAAGTAAAATTTATTATGACCTCAGCACACACAATGAGAGTTGGAAACCATGCTAGGCTAATCTATACCGTTTAAATAGTAATAAGACATTTAAAAAAAAGTAATTACTCAAATCATTGAATTGGATTTTTTGTCTAGTTTTAATTAACTACTAGCATAGTTTCAATAATATGTCCTATTATTTATTTATTTTTGTTAATACTCAAGGATATTTTTCCATTGATTTTTTTTAGAGAGAGTGGAAGGGAGAGAGGGAATGAGTGGGGGAGAGGGGAGAGGGAAATATATGTTAGATACATAGACTGGCTGCCTCCCACACACGCCCCAACTGTGGCCGGGAATCAAACCTGCAACCCAGGTACATGCCCTTGACCGGAAATCGAACTCACAACCCCAGTGCACAGCCCCAGCGGCTAACCACTTAGCCACACTGGCCAGGGCTGTCTTACTTTTTAAAAAAATGAAAAAAACAAAACAGGAATGGATCAGGTAGAACAACAAAACATATTGCTAAATCCCCAAAAAGGAATTACCTGCAAATCAAAGACTTTCCTTCAGGGAGATAAAACAGCTAATCATAAAAGCAAACCAAGTTATGTCAATATCAAAGCTAAATCATAAAACAAGCATATTTTGCATCTGTAGGGCTAAGTGTAATTGTAACTGACTTCAATAACCACTCACCAAGGCATACCAGTAACTCCATCCCAGAGGAACGTGTTCTAATCCACCAGCATCTGGGGCTCCATACTGAAAAGCAGAGAAGCAGGGCATTAGAAGTCCTCAGGCATGACGAGACCACAAAGAAACAGAAAATGTGTAGAATCTTTTTAGATCAGTTCCTGAAACATGGTAGGTGCTCACTTTTCCCAAACATACAAACCAACAAAAAGTAAAGTACACTATGATCCTAGAAACTTCTGAAGCAGGAGTTGGCAAACTACGTGCCAGATCTAGCCTGCAAACTATTCTGTATGGCCAGCAAGCTAAGAATTTTCTTCCAACCATTAAAAAACATAAAGACCAATCAAAAGAATATTTTGTGACATGTGACAGTTAAATGAAATTGAAATTTCAGTGGTGACAAAGTTTTACTGGAACACAGCCACACTCATCAGTTTACATAATGTCTATGGCAGCTTTCATGCTACAATGGCAGAGTTGGATACTCAGAACAGAGACATATGGCTCTCAAAGCCTAAACTATTTATTTCTGGCCCTTTACAGAAGAAGACCACATGGCTTAGGACACAGGGCTCATTTGCTGAGCTACAGATGGCATACACTGAATAATCCAACTGACCTTGTGACTAACAACAGCGAAAATAATCTGACTGTGAGCTACTAGCCTATAATTTCAGTTGTCCTGCTGATGAGATGAGGAAGGACCACAGAATCATCCCATTCTATCTCAACAAGGTTTAATACTGCCCATTTAAGGCAGAATTTAACACCTGAGAACTAAATCTTTGTATTTTAAAGAATTTCTCCTAATTTTGTATGTATATTAGATGATCTTTAATATGCAAGGTAGCATAAGTTCTCTTTATGACCTATAGCCTTAACACAATAACCTGGATCTGTACTTATTTCTCATGATTCTTTTCAAATTGAGTCTTCCTTCAAACCTACAAAGTTGCAAATTCTAATTACTGTGGAAAAGGAGAGAAGTAAAAGAAATTTCAGAACAGATATTAACACCTCTAGCAACCACAGATAAAATATGTAAGAAAATGTACATCTTCTCTTTGTCCTGCGCTCCAGTCTTACAGTAAGAGATAACCCCAAACATCCTCAAATGCACTATTTCCATTAAGCTTGAACTCTGACTAAAAGCTAAGGCCAATGTAGTGGATGTGAGGCCATAAAATCTGGCCTTGGCAGGTCACAATGTGATCTCTCTCCATCTAGGCCCAGGAGGCCAGCTCACCAACCACTCAGTCACCTGCTTTAAGGGCCTGACTGTCCCAGGCTCTGGGTGCTTTCTCTTTATCACTGATATGTCTACATTTTGTTCCCACTTTTCAGGTTAAAAAATGGGTTGAACATAAGTTGTAATTCAGGGAAGATACTAAGAGGAAACTCTTCTTCATTCTGATTCTAATAAGGGAGAAATGGAAACAAAGATACCATGACAGCCACATGACAAGCAAAAAGGGGAAGACACATCATGCAGTAGCAGTCCCAGGATATCCTAGGATAATTTATTATTATTATTATTTTTTAATCCTCACCCTAGGAAATGCTTTTAAAAAATAATTAAAAAAAAAATCCTCACCTGAAGACATGCTTAGAGAAAGGGACAGAGAAAAACATCAATATGAAAGAGAAACATTGATCTCTTTCCTTCTGTGCACAACCCAGGTACGTGCCTTGACTAGGAATCAAACGGGCAACCTTTTGGTGCACAGGACAATGCTCAACCAACTGAGCCACTGTGGCCAGGCTGGGATATGCTTTTATTGATTTGATTTTTTTTAGAGAGAGAGGAAGAGAGAGAGAAAGAAACATTGATTGGCTGCCTCCCATATGCACACTGACCAGGAATTAAACCTGTAACCTTTTTGGTGTACAGGACGATACTCCAACCAACTGAGCCACCTGACCGGGGCAGTCCTAGAATAGTTTTCAATAAATGCTCCTGAGACTATTTAAAATAAGAATAACTACAGCACCCTAATGACGTAAATATGTTCATATAAGTTCTTATTATGGGCAGACTAGGAGAAAACATTTGACAAAAATCCTTTAACATGACTTGAATGGATACTTATTAAAAAACAATTAACATGGAATTCTTTTAATTCACATTTAAAAAGCTGTTATTTTTAAAAGGGGGAATTAGACCATTCAACATACCTCGTTTAAGTATTTCCCTGCAAAAAAGGTTTGATAACCACACATTGAACTGAGAATTGCTGGGAAAGTGTTTGGTTCTTGGATCTTCTGCCAAGACTTACTACTGCAGTTTCCCTCTAAAGTGTTGTTAACAACGTGATGATTATGTGGGTACTTCCCTGTCAGGATACTGGCACGGCTCGGGCAGCAAAGAGCACTTGGCACATACTACAAAGGAAACAGAAGCATAAAGGACGTTACACAAGAAAGATGGATTTCTCATCATTTCTAAAAAGAATAAAGAAAGCTGCTCAATACTCTAACTTCAAATTTCTAGTTTCCCATGGAATAGAGAGATGTTCTTTACACATGACGCACTTCTGAGCTGCTTTAAGTAACACAGTAGAGACAGTAAAGCTGATAAAACAAACCAAGAGAATAGATTTCTTTTTCAGCTGGTTTCTTTCTGCAGGATAGCCTTATTCTAACCTCACCTCAAATAAATATTTACATGTGAGGAGCACAGCGTGGTGGGAGCTAGGTCTTAACCAATGATAAAGAATACCACTTGAATTTAATGTAGCTGAGAAGTAGGGGCTCATTTTCAGGCTGATCTGCAGCTTTATGTATTTCCTGTATCACTTTATACAAGACAAATTTTTTTCCTACTTTAATTACGTTTCTATTAGCTACTGTCATCAATAGACTTACCCCATTCAACCCAATATCTGTGTAACTCTTAACACATATCACCAAGCCATTTTACAGAAGGGTAATACTAGCTTATACTTGAACCAGCAGAGAAGGAAGGCTCAGTCGAGCACACCTTTGCTAAAATTACATTTTATCCCTTTTAAATACTTAGTATTTATTTGGCCTTTCATGTTGGATTTGACATTTTTAAATACTGGTGAGAATGAACATTCTCCACATGCATGGGAACAATTGTGTTTATGTGCATGGCCTGTTCATGTGCTTTGCACATTTTTTCCTCCTGCGTTGTTGGCCTCTTGTTACATAAAATTTGAATTAAGGAAGGATTCAGTCATGTTACAAATACTTCCCATTTTTACTTTTGTCTTTTAATTTTGTTAGATGTTTTACTTTTGTAATTTTCACATTGGCAACTCTTTTAATTCTTTTCCTTTTTTGTTTTGGGAGAATACCACACTGTTTACTGTATCTTCATATTTCATTTTAGTATCCAGTAGAGCAATTTCTTCCTTTAAAAAAATTACCCTAATTGTTCTAACCTACTTGTTATTCCAGATAACTTTGGAATCACTTAATTCAGCATAAAAAAAATCTTATTGGGATTCTGATTAGAATAAATATTTTATTATCTTGTGACTTCCAACAGAAAGTAATGTGTATGTCTTCCTATTATTTTTATTATATCAACTCACAAAGTTCTGTAACTTCATTTACATAGGTCTTAAATAACTATTCCTAGAGTCTGAATTTTCCTGCTATGTGAATGGGATCTTTTCTCCTCTCATATTTCTCTAATTGGTTATATGGATGAAAAATTCAAACAAGTAGAAATAATAATTTTGTCTTTTTCCAATAGTTTTACCTCTTAATTCCATAAGACTTATGCCAACAACTAGACAGTTCAGAACGTTAAGTGCCAAGTATTATGCCTTTGTCTCATCCGTAACAGCAGTGACCCGAGTTTTTCACCTTAACTACAGGTAGGCTATTTGTCTGATGTAATCATTGTAAGGAGGTATTCTTCTGACAGTTTAATAAATTACCAGGGAAGGATGCTAAAATTTCAGAGGCTTTTCAAGCATCTATTGAGATGAACATATAATTTTCCTTCCTTCAACTACCAATTCCACATTGGATAATATAATAACCATCATTATGTAGAACAGTCAGCCCTCTGCATCTGTGGGTTCCACATCCAGATTCAACCAATGGCGGGTTGAAAATGTTGGGGGGGGGGGAGCACAGAGAAGTTACGTTGTTGCTAAAGTGAAGAGTGTAGCTAGGTCTGTGATGTGGTTATATCCATACTGAACATGTACACTTTTTTTTCCTTGTCGTTATTCCCTAAACAATATAGTATAACAGCTATTTACATACCATTTTCATTGTATTACGTATTATAAATAATCCAGAGATAATTTCAAGTATACAGGAGTATGTGCATAGGTTACATGCAAATACTATGCCATTTCACTTAAGGAACTTGAGTATCCACAGATTTGGTATCTCTGGGGATGGGGCTGGTCCTGGACTCAACCCCTCAGATACCAAGGGATGACTGCACTTAGTGTAAGTCAGGCACTGGTACAAGTACTTGCTTTGCATGTATCAATTCACTTAACCTCACAAAAACCCTGAGATAGGTTTTAGTATCCCCATTTACAAATGTGGAAAACAAGGGCCAGAAAGCTTAGTAACTTGCCCAAGGTCACAGAGCTAGAAAAGAGGCAGAGGACATTAGAAACTAGGTAGTCTGGCTCCAGAGTCAGTGCTCTAAAGCACAACACTAGGCTGCTGTTCAATGAATTTCCTCATTTAGTTAGGCTACCACTTACTTGTGTATGTGCATGGTTCTTAAATTTGTTAGTATTTGAGTCTTTGCATCTATGTTTATATACATATATTTATGTTTTATACACACACACACAGTTGTTGTTGGTTTTGTTGCTATCGTTTTTGTCAGGTTTGGCTACCAGGGTTAACTGGGCTTTGTAAAGTGGCCTGCAAGCTTTTACCATGGAACAGTTTACAGAGCATAAATGTTATGTGATGCTTATAATCCATTTTCAAACCTTGAACAGTCAGGTTTGAAATAAAATTCTCTAGTTCTGAGTTGCAGATCAGAACTGGCTTATAAACTGCCTGCAGTTAATTTTCAATTGGTAAGAAGTAGTATTTCAATTAACACAATTTATATCACATTAAATAAAGTCCTTTCTTTAGATCAGGCATGTAACTAGGAAAACACACACACACACACACACACACACTACCCAAAAGAGAGTGTTTCTTCTTAGAACATTAACACAGTTACAGTCTAAGAAAATTAAATTAGCTTCCAAACTTACAGCGCTGGAGAAAGTCATCCCCATCTCTCCAATGAGCGCCTTGGTTTTCTTTAGTGGTGTCTGTAAAGCAAATAATTATCTGTTAAACTATTTCTTCCAATAAGCAACACACAGACTAAAACTCGTGGGTTTTGCTTCTTATCTCAACCTCTTATTCCAACCAATCAGCTCCATCTGACACTATAAAACAGCCAAGAGCCCTAGCTGGTTCTGCTCAGTGGTTAGAGCATTGCCCGTGGTCGTGGGTTTGATTCCAGCCAAGGGCACGTACCTCAGCTGCAGGCTCAGGCCCGGTCAGGGCCAGTGCTAGAAGCAACCAATCGATGTGTCTCTCTCACTTCGATGTTTCTCTCTCTCCCCCTCTTCCACTCTCTCTGAAAAGCAATGGAAAAAATACCCTCATGTGAGGATTTAAAAAAAAAAAAGAAAGAAAGAAACAGCCAAGAGAGTGATTCTGGAGATGAAGCGAACAGGTTTGGTTAGTCGGTTCTTTCCTATGCAAAAGTTCAGGGATTCATAATGCTTGCAGGAAGGGAAGGTTCACAGCTGATGGTATTATTCTAGCAATGCTGATTTCAATGTAAGGAAACTTTGTGGTCTTATCTCATTTGTCACCATCCCCCTTATGAGATAGGGCAGAACTATCTCCATTAATTAATCTTTAGAAGCAGGATGTGGGAAATCATATAAAAGGGAAGTCTTCTACCATTTTAAAAAAATCCTCATTCAAGGATATGTTGTTGTTTTTAATCCTAACCTGAGGATATTTTTTCCATTGCTTTTAGAGAAAGGGGAGGGGAGGGAGGAAGAAGAGAGGAAGAGAGGCTGGGGGAAAACATCAATGTGAGAGAGACGCATCAGTTGGTTGCCTCCCCTGTGAGCCCTGACCAGGGCAGGGGATTGAACCTGAAACCCAGGTTTGTGCCCTTCACCAGGAATCAACTCTGAGACCCTCTGGTGCTCAAGCAGACACTCTGACCACACTGGCCAGGGCGATGTTGATTTTTTTTTTTTTTGAAGGAGAGAGGAACAGCGATTGGCTGTCTTCTGTACATACCCCGACTGGAGATCAAACCTGCAACCTAGGTATGTGCCCTGACCAGGAAATGAACCCGCAACCTTTCGATGTACAGGACGATACCAACTGAGCCACCCCGCCAGGGCGAGCCTTCCACCTTTTAAAGTGGTTATAACACTTAAGTTCTGAATGCCAGCACGGCTCTGAGGTGCAGAGACTAACTAAAATATCAGATGTTCAGTGGTGGAGCTCAGATGCACACTTCTTGACTATGAACTCACGGCCCTCTGCACTAGATGAATCACCACCTCAGGTATGTACTTGAACCAGGTGGGAAACAGGCATACAAGCAAAAGATTGGTCAGAAATTAGTTTGTTTATATCCTTGCTTTTTATCTTTTGCTCAAAATCTAAGACTCTGACAAGTATAGAGAATAATTAATATCAAATCCTAGAGTGGGGATAAAAGTATGATGATAGTTAAATACAAATAAAAAGGAACATAAATCTGAATAATCTTTATTCATAGCAAGAGAGAACCACTGAAGAGGATCATTTTAGGCGTATTATGAGAATCAGTTCATGATGAATGCAGCTTTACATGTATTTTGTTGTATAATAGTTCCGTAAGGATAATCCACGTATATAATTGTGTTAACAAGAGCCTCATTTTCAATACTGTATAAATTACTTTTCCCCATTGTTTTACATAGACAGTAGAAACCCTAAGGAACCCATAAGCGCAAAAGGATGAGAATTCTAACTTATTCAAGAAGAGCTTTGATAATTTCATGAGTAGATAAATAATAGGTCCCCAGGAAATGCTAGAGACATATAAGGTCTTTGGTAACCTTCAGAAGCAATGTCACCAGCCATAATCTCCCATAAAACATCACTGGGTGTTACCCTCAAGTACAGAACACTGGGCAGAATAAAACATTAGTTGGATGAAGAATCTGAGTTACAATGAGGATACAGGGAAGGGAAATAAGAATGCAAAGTGTAAGTGAGGAAAAGGACCATGTGAGTTAATTATATTGGACTTAATCACCAAATTGATAAATATGCAAAGTTACTGACGACTATCTGATTTATAGTAAGACTATACTGTGTGATTACGAAACATCTGTTAGACACTTAATTTGTGCCAGGCACTGGTCTTGGCAATGGTGGACAAAAGACAGAAGGTCCCTGCCTTGAAGATCTTGTACTCTTGGGGACTTAAACCACTAGCAGGTAAACAAACAATCATTTTGGGTGGTGATAAGTGCTATGAACAGAATAAACCTGGATGGTGTGCTTACAGCTGGTAGGAGAAAAGGTGGAAAATACTTTAGCTGGTAGGTCAGGAAAGGCCTCTTTCAGGAGGTAACCAATACTGAGAGTCACGTGATGAGGAGTCAGCCACACAAAGGTCCTGGGTAAGACGCTTATAGGCTGAGTGGATAGTAAGTACAAAGGCTGCCAGAGAAGGAAAGAGGCACATGTGAGGGACAGGAGGAAGGCCAGTGTGGCAGACGCAGTGCAGTCAGTAAAGGGGGGAGTGGGATGAGACAGAGGATTGATGCAGGGCTGCGCAGGAATCCAGAGTTTAGTATAAAACATTTATATTAATAACCATAATCTTTAGACTACTCATAGTAGTACAAGTGGTAAGCATAAAATCTGTGCTTAATCAAATAAATCCCAAGCAAGAACACTGTACTGAAAATGTGTATGTGTGTCCGTGCTAATCTGAATGCTAACATGGACCCTACCCTTAAGATCTAAGCAAAGATGGTGGCTGGTGAGGTTAAGACCATACAACATTCTCTGTGAAGCAGCCAATCTTATACTTACATATGGGTAAATGTGTTACTTTATTCATCTAAAGCAAAGTCCCTTCCATAAAAGTCCTAAGGAGTCATTTACTTTCCTAGCTCCTGTGCATACCTGCTCTGAAATACAGTTTTGACAATTCTGATAATTCTACAGCTAACTTTTCCCTTTCCAATAGAAAACCACTTTGCTTTAAGCAAAGCAAAGACATGATGCATTCTTTCCCTACATTTTATTACACTCCTTCCCTCACTTCTTTGAAATTTTAACCAAATGTCACTTTTCTAGAGTGAATAATTTTAAAAAGAGCATCCTGTGCATCTGTGAAGAACAGTATGTCCATCACACCATAATCACATTCAAATAAAATCAAGAAATTGAGCCCTGGCTGGTGTGGCTCAGTTGGTTGTTGGACTGACGGGTGGTGGGTGTGATTCACAGTCAGGGCACATGCCCAAGTTGTGGGTTCAACCCACAGTTGGGGCAGGTACCAGACGGCAAATGATCGATGTTCTTTTTTCACATCGGTATTTCTCTCTCTCTTCCTTCCCCTCTCTCTAAAATCAATAAGCATGTCCTCAGGTGAGGATTAAAAAAATAATAAATCAAGAAATCAATAGAAACAGTTCCCTGGGCAAAAAAACACGAAAAATGGAATCCCACAGATGATACCAGCAACAAATACAGTGAAATGCTAAAGACGATGCTACCACATAAAAAGACTGTTTCAAAGAAGATAGATTCCACATTAAACCACAATCATACAAGTGTTCTAATCCTTTCAATTGAGTTAGTCTGGGGGATTGACTACTGTTTATTTTGCCAACTATGGTGGCAATTTATAATCATTTTTTGGTCACAGACCTCCCTCTCGCCACAAAAATGAAGATAATATACACAAAATATTTATTACATGTAAATTACAGAGTTCCATGACCCCCACTGGTGCTCCTGAATGTTAGCTGAAAGATCTCTGAGCTATGGTATAAGTTAACTATGCAGCTGTGGGTATGTGGGATGACATCTATCAGTCAGTATTATCACAGCTGAACAGGAGAAAAAGCATAAGACACCAGGTTTTGTCCCTCATTAGCTATATGAATCTTGACCAAGTTACTTAACCCCCACTAAACTTACTTTCCTCTTATTTAAGATAAGGACAATACCTATAGCAGAGGACTCCTATGATGAACTGAAGCACAAATATAAAACACCTCACACTCTGGCTCCAAGTAGAATCTCAAATGCTGTTATTGTCTTAGCTCTTCCCCTTCAGGTCCTGTTAGACAACTTGTCATAAAATAGTCTGGAAAAGCCTACAAGAGAAGCAAGAATTCTCCAGTGTTGGAGCATTAAATTCGACTTGTTCCCTCCACTCAATTTTGGCTCTTCTCTCCAGTACAAACTAACACCTATAAAAAAGAATCTGCTGTAGTTTAAAGAAGCAAATATGATTAACATGCTAAGGGGAAGAGACCTCAAATATGTATACACAGACCACATCTGTGGTCTATGAACATGGAAGAAACTGAATTCTGAACACCACACCTTATACTTATGTGATGAATTTTGTTTTCAACAAAGATGTGAAGGCTTTCCTTTTAATTATGCTTTAGTCACTAAACTATTATTAATTTTTGATAGAAGTGGCTTGCCTTTTCTGGATAAAATACTTTTCAAGGACACAAAATACATTTTTCTTTTTTTTGAAACAAGGACTTTTGTGAGGAGCTAGGTGTTGGAGTGGTGGAAAAAACAAAGTAAAATCCAGGAGGGCAATTAAGTCTAGACTCTTCAATGTCAACGTGGCTGAGTAGGAATTAAAAGGCAACGAGGGATGTGTGAAAGGAAGTATGGAGTTAAAATGCAAGCATCTTAAACATCAGCTAGTAAAGACTCTCATACTCTTAAACATGGGCCTGAATTAAGAAGTATTTTAATTCACAACCCAGAAATACATACATATGGATATGCTTACCTTTACCAAATGTACCACACAGACATTTCCTATTCTACTCTATTCCACAGGGAAGTGACAATGCTGGTAGTTACTAAACTGATTTCACAACACACTTATGGGCTGAAATCAGCAGGATGAAGGACACTGACCTAGGGTGTTACCACACAGTAAAAGTTAGGAACCGCTTGCCTGAGTGTTTTCATAATCTCGGCATTTTGCTGAAAGCAAAAAGAGAACTGAAAGGAAGAAAAGCAACAAAGCACTTGTTCTTAAAAAGAGGAATCGCATACCCAGGATCAGAGCACGAGTTAGGATTTTGACCCGACGGCCTCAACTCTATGTGCCTTGGACAAGCCACTCTCATCATGAGTAGGGGGGTTGGGTGGATACTCCTGTGGGTCATAAACTTCAAGACTAGCACACAGAAGCAAAATTAACTCTGGGAAAGAAGGGTCTCATGATAACACCCACGTGATAGNCATAAACTTCAAGACTAGCACACAGAAGCAAAATTAACTCTGGGAAAGAATGGGGTCTCATGACAACACCCACGTGATATCACATGGAACACCGACGGTACCGAATGCATCAGCCAGGTGTTCAATTAGGCTAATTGGATTTTCTTGATGATTGTGAGGCAAAGCACACCGTGAATAAATAGTTCGACGACCTACCTACCGGATTAGTTCATTTCAGCACTTATTTTATAAATATCAGGCACAGGCACTGTAGCCAGGGACAAAGGCAGAGGCGGCCTTGGTCCTCACTCGGGGCTGTACTTGTCTTCTAATCCAAACGATAATCAAGGCTCGGGTACCCTCAGCCAACACCTGCTCCTCGTTGGCTCAGCCCGTCCCTAACTCGCGTCCACCTGGGTATCTCGAGCTACGACCGAACTCAAACTGCAGTAGTAAGGTCCAGACCAGAAGCTCTGCGCAGCGCGTGTGTCAGCCCCGAAGTCACCGGAGCACGAAGAGGAAACAGAGTCCTGCGGCGCCCGACCTGCGGAAACGGCCCCGCGCGGCAAAGGCAAACCTACCCCGGGTCGGGGAGTCGGGGTGGGGGCGGGAAAAGAGGGCAAGGCACCAGGGAGTCCGCTGCAGAGACAGAGGGGTGGGGCAGAGAGAGAGAGAGAGGAGTTACCATGCCGCCGAGCACTTCGTCCTGGTCGTCGGTGAGGAGCAGCACCACATTGGGCCTCCGAGAGCCCGCCGCCGCCCGGGAGCCCCCCAGGCAGCAGCCCAGCAGGAGGAGCAGCGGCAGCAGCGCTGGGCTGCAGGGGAGCAGGTGGCGGCGGTTGTGCCGCCGGGGCCCACCTGGGGCCAGAGGCAGAAGCCGCATGGCGCACAGGGCTCCGGGGAGCCCCCGGGACGATGTGGGGGGGGACGCGCAGGTGGCTGAGGGGCGACAGGCCGAGGCGCCGCAGGAAGAAAACGCGGTAGGGCGAAAGCCGGGAGCTGGGGGTCAGGCGTTTT